GAAGGCTTGGGAGAAGGTGACGTGGTCAGATGAGACAGAAATGTTGATCTTTGGCATCGACTTGACACCCCGTGTTTGGAGGAAGAGAGATGCCGACTATAACCCCAGAACACCCACCCCCACCGTCAGCATGGAGGTGGAAACATTCTGCTTCGGGGTTGTTCCTCTGCTAAGGGGACAGGACCACTTCCCTGCATCGAGGAGAGGATGTACGGGGCCATGTACCGTAAACATTTTGGCCGATAGCCTCCTTCCCTCAGCCAGGACACTGAAAATGGGTCATGGATGGGTCTTCCAGCAGGACAATGACCCTGAACATACGGCCAAGGCAACACAGGAGTGGCTAAAGAAGAAGCACATTCAGGTGATGGAGGGGCCTAGCCAGTCTCCGGACCTTTATCCCATACAAAATCTGTGGAGGGAGCTGAAGCTTCCAGAGACCAAGCATCAGCCTCAAAACCTGAAGGGTTTGGAGAGGATCTTCAGAGAGGAGTGGACTAACATCCTTCCTGAGATGTGCACAGACCTGGAGACCAACTACAAGAAGCATCTGACCTCTGTGTGTCCAACAAGGGTTTCCCCACCAAGTACTAACACATGTGTTGCAATGGGATCAAATACTTATTTCCCTCAGTTAAATGCAAATCAATTGTTATCTTTTATATAATGTCAATTTCTGGATTTATTTTTTGATATTCTTACTCTCACTGTTCAAATAAACCTAAAATTACAATGATAGACTGTTCATTTCTTTGTAAGTGGGCAAACTTACAAAATCTGCAAGGGATCAAATACTTATTTCCTCCACTGTATATTTTAAATTAAAAAGCTAAAAATCTGCATTAGTAGTTCTCAAAGCTGGTAAAGGTGCAGCTAGTTTGAATGGCTTTGTACACTGCAGGGTAGCTTGTGAATTTACTCCAGGTGCAACTAAAGTCTTAGTGTTGATTATATTGGAATTACTCAAGTAAAGTACAATATCTCAAAATTGTACTTAAGTACAGTAAATTAACTGATTCATTCCACCTCTGGTCACAGTGCAGGCAGAGGTGATCCCGGCCGTCCTGGAGAGCGCTCAACAGGGGCTTCTGATTGGACGAGGGGGCTACAAGCCCAGAGACATCTGTGTGTCTGCTCCTACAGGCAGCGGCAAGACCCTGGCGTTCGTCATACCTGTCATCCAGGTGAGCTTCTGACACTCATACAATATAACCACTACTCTGTGTGGCCTCCATATGAAGTAGATTTGGTTTGCAGAAAAACGACAAGGGATCCATTATGACACACATTCTAAAACAACACAGACCACAGGCAAATCTCAATGTCCAAATCTTTCCACACTGGTTGCCCAAAAAATATCTTTAAAAAAAGTTATTTTATAGATAGTTAGGTACTTTATTGATCCTACATCGGGAAATGATTCTGTTACAGCAGCAGTGTGTTAAGTCAATAAAATATTTAAAATGTGGAATAAAGAACAAATATAATGAAAACAAAACAATAAACAGCAAATATAAACATATCAAGTGGAGGAGACACACAATATCAAATATTCCGGATGAATTAGGATGTTCTTTAGAAGATACTGCAGCAACAGAAATAAAGACATATACTGCAGGAGCAGAAACACATATTGGAGAGTATATAAACGACTGATGTGTTCCTTAGGTTCTGATGGAGCGGGTGGTGTGTGAAGTCCGTGCTCTGGCCGTGTTGCCGACCAAAGAGCTCGCCCAGCAGGTCAGAACCTTTCAAAATAAAAGCATGACAGTATCCAGTGATGTCTCCAGTTGACTAATGTTCTGCTGTCCAGGTGTGCAAAGTGTTTGCGTCGTACGCTGAGGGGACCTCTCTGAAGGTGGTGATGCTGGCCGGACAGAAGTCCTTCGCTGCAGAGCAGAGCTACCTGTCGGAGCTCAGGTGAAAACAGCGGCATTAGAACAGGCTGCACCACTACTCTGGGATTTTGTGAAAACAGAACATTTATGAATTTATTCTGGATAACGGTAAAAGCACTGAATTCCCATTGCTTGGATAATCATGAATAACCATATACAGTATGAGTGACTTAAAAAAGCTGTATAGCTGTTTACAGTGATGCAAATTAGTCGCTTTTCGGCGCCTCCCGCTTTTTTAACGCTGATTTGGGTGACTTGTGTAATTCGCGGAGAACCGAAGAGTTTTCGTTTTTAGGGGGGGGGGGGTCCGTCCGTCCGTCCGACTAACGGACAACGTTTCACTTCAAAAAAGAAGAAGAAATCTAGATCGCAAAATAATTAAACAAGCGAGTGCCTGTTTTTCCTGGCCAAGGGCAGGTTCCTTGAACACAACACGAGCGTAATGTGTCTTCACGTGGTATGTCTCTTCGGAAAGGAGTGTAGACTAGACTAGAGTGCTGACGGAGAGCACTGGAACGCCGCTCTAGCTCTTCAAATATTGCAGTACCCATGAGGAGCCGTACACACCGCAGTGTTTGCGTGGCTGTCTTTAGTTGTAAGCACAGTTGCGATCTGTTGTTATTAGCATCTGGTTAGCTAGCTATGCTAACGAATTTAAAGAGCTTTTCTACAACCAGGTGGAAGAGAGCTCTCTCCTGAGAGGCTCAAATAACCTCAGCTCAGTGAGGTTAAGGCACACCTTGATATGATCATTATAGTTATTAATGAGACATTAGAGACTAAATGAAAAACAGGTATAAAATACTATATGACAGTAACAAAAAAGTTGTTAAAAATAACAAGAATAGAGTTTTAAAAGGGGAGTAGATTTGTAAAATATACCAAAAAGAAGAATACTGCTTACA